GACCATCTGAAGATTGAGCAGCTCAAGCATTCCTTTAAGAGTGCCATCAGGTGCTCTATCCTGAAGCCATACATGTTTATTTCTCCTTCGTGTTGTGTAAGGAGTTCGAATATGGCTTGCATTGCGGAGTCATTCGACACGTTTGTATAAAGGGCGGTAACGTCGAAGGACTCCATCACCCACGCGCTGTTGGGCTGCGCAGTACGTAGACGATCCAGAAACATCTGGGTATTCGTAAGATGGGCTGGAATGTGTTTCAACAACTGGTTAAATATTAGGGTTAAAAACCATGTTATCCTGTCCGTTGGCCCGTCTACACAGCTAATGATAGGTCTAACCTTAAATAGTGATGGATCGGTAGACGCAAGATCATCGCTGGATACTAACTTATGAGTTTTTATAAGTAAGTACAAGACGGGGCATGTTGGTAAGGCAACTTTAAGTTGAGAGATAACTGATGGTTTCAAACCAGCAGCCCTTGCCATTTTGGCCCATTCGTGGTTTAGTTTTCGGTATTTACTTTTGAATTCCTCTTCAGATGATGGGCGATAAAGCGAAGCATCCTCAAGATGCTCTTTCGTTATCTCCACATCTAACTGATGAGGAATTACGACAAACTCTCCACCCTTATCACTAACGGAAAGTCTTATGGTTTTCAACCTTATCAGGTCTCGTACCTCTCGCATACCACGTTTTTGCACTGGAGTGAGGTTGGAGCTGTATCTTTTCGCGCGATAGTGATTAAGGAGTTTGAGAGTTTCATTCTCAAACATCCGAAATTTAACATCAACTTCATTATTGGGCTCTTGCTGTCTAAAGAACGTTGGGGGAAATGGTGCTATTGGTAGGGCCCCCACTTGACGTTGTTCGCACCTATTTAGTGCTTCATCTCTAGCTTTTTTGCGGAGTCTATCTTGAAGTTCATGTAAACCACATGCGACCCTACGCAAGGTTATCCTAGAAATGGGTTCAGATGGTGAGAAACTCGGCCCCAATTCTAATAACGAGCGCGCACCGTCAGGGAGAGTTATGCCTCCTAATACGGTTAGCCTTGAATTTAATTATAGCCGCCTATAAAGTTTAAGATTATTATTCACTCGGATTATTTAGATCCAACGCAGAGCAAGGAGCCCGTGCCGAACAGAATCGAGCTGATTGTAGCACGGTATCAACAAATAGATCACTTTATTTCTCGTTCTTTTATTAACATGTTGGCAATGCAGAATCTTCGAAGTGGCTATCGGCAAATGAGTAGTAGCACCGACCGTCAACTGCAGGACCGAACCCCACGTCGCAATGTGAGCGGTAGCGCCGTGCCGAAGGGGGCGCACCTTTTTGGTTCTGCACGGTTTAGACGTATTCAACAAACAGGAATCAGAGGAGGTAACTGCTAAACTTGAATAACGTTGTTCGAATGAAGTATTTAGAGTTTCAATGTCATCAGTGACAGTAGATATTTGGCTGTATATGTTGCCCTCTCATTCTACCTATGTCTGCAGTCCTCAATGCGTCACATTCTTCTCTCACTTACGGGTATCTTCTATGTGGATGTCGTATATCTTGCGAGATTACGCGCATAAGTTTAGAGCTATTTTGTTTAGTTGCTCATTGCCATCGAGAGAAACGTATTAGAGGTTGTTTCCATTCAGAACGCATCTTCTTGAAATCTACTCTACTGTTGCCTTATCTTTTCACTATATTGGTCAATTTTTATAACGCCTTAGATTTTTGCCCTGCGAATTACAAAGAAGGTAGTTATGAAAAGTTTGATTACGCTCTACGTTTAGATGTTACTTAAACCGATTGTACTTAATGGGCACATATTAGACGAAGATGTATCCTCGATCCTTGTATGTTAGCTGATAATTCCTATTTATGGTAGAGCTCTGAAAGAAGTATAGTCGACTAGATCCGTTCGTAGGGTAGGTGACTTTTTAGATGAGCCATAACGTCAACTAAGTTGGTCGAAATATCAAAATTCTAAGAGAAGTACGTATCCAAAGAGTACTACATTAATATTAATAAGTCGAATAATACCACTGTATGTCTTCCGTGCAAGCCATCCAAGGCCATGATGTGGTAATCATGGCTAAAGAGTTGGGCATTTCTGATCTTTCTGCCTCTTCACTAGTGTCCTTATGTTAGCTCAGCATTTTTTCCTATTTATTCGCGCTTTAATACCTTTCGTCTGTTCTTTGGACTCTTGAAACTTTACAGCAGCATCAGTACTTATTACAGAGATGGCAATGAACTGAACTTCGCAGAGACGATGCCGATTTATAATGCTTTTTGATGGGTTTGTTGAATGAATGGCGGAAGTCATCACATCGTTGCTGTGCCGCTAGGATGCATTCGGTTGCAATTTTTAGTTAGAAAGTTCTTGGTCGACAAAATTGCGCAGAATTGTTTCGCTTCTGTAGGAGTTTTATAATCGGCTAATGTTGCGGACAGCGCAGTGGTTAATGATATCATCGCATGAATAAGCAAAGTGCTACTTCGAACTCCTCTCCACACTGTCTTCAAATCCATGTGGAAATGCTTTAACTCAACATCTTCAAGATTGCAACGAGAATCAACTCGACCAACCTTTCAACGACATTTATAAAGAAGACGAAATCCTCAAGTAGCAGCCGAAGCAACACGCGAAATTTTCGAGACCTTCGTGGATGGTGGGTGCGAGCTAACAAATTGCATGCAAGAAATGCTGAGTTCCTCACAGTAAATGTAAATGTCAGATCATGCACAAAACATATGGGGTAGAGAGTGGCTTTACTTCCATTAGATCTATATTCAAAGCTAGTACATAAAGGAATAGTGTGGTATGAAGCTTAAAGTAATGGCATCACACAAACTGTACCCAACAAGAGGATAACGACAAAGGACAGTATTCTGGTTACCACTTTGCTAGGTGAATATGCGTGAATATGATCATATTTAACGAGCCTTTGCTTAAGCATGCTTTCCATGGTTGGTGGTAGCATTGGTTTGCCACTCAAACACTTTGGCTGTTGTCAGCCTTTGATGATAAGGGATATTTTTTGTCGGGAAAAGGGATCAGAACAATGCTAGATAACAAGTGTTTTTCAAAATCAGTGTGAAGTACGTCATGATTGTGTGCACACTAAACTGATATCCAGCCAAATCTGTGAGAATACAGCTGTCGAGCTTGGATGTCGTTCTTCCAAATCGATAGCATGGAGAAAATGTGACTTTTTTGTCCCAGAAAAGGAGGTTAATACGTGGTTATTAGGTACTGTTGTGGCTCACGATCAGTATTAGAACTCAAGATTTGAGCTCCACTCGGTAAATGTAGACCGCTGGTTCTCATAGACCATTCAGTGATGTCCACTGTGAGTCACAAGAAGTTGCTACCCTATTCTGTGACAAGTTCTTTGTCAAGCAATCGCACATTGTTTTAATATTGAGTAACGTTTGTTGTTAGCGTCGGAATCGCTTGTAGCTCAAGAAGCTTCACCGTGGGTAACTTTAGCACAATAATTCCTATGGAGATATCTCTGGGTGAATGTTCGAGTGTTAAACCATAGAAACATGTTTGCCGTGAGGGTTGGTCTTGCCACGAAACTGGTTTTGACAAATGCGCGCTCTTTCAGATTTATTATTGAAGAATGCAGTTGTACCCAATGAACACGGACTTCATAAAGGACTAAATCGTCGAAACGTAGGTCTGGAAACTGTGGGCCGTGGTTTCTCTTCGACCCCGGAAGAAGAGGCAAAGGAGCGACAAACAGACGATTGTGCTAAAAATAGTATGCGTAGCGGGACTATGATTATACGTAAACGTATGTGTTTGTGTTTATGTGCATATACATATGTCTATACATATATATATATATGTATACATATGTACATATATATATGTACACATGTATACTTATATATATATATATATAT